GGCCACAGCACTACACACTACAGAGATTCTCTACTCTGCTAAATACATAAGTTAGTACAATGAGTGCTTATAGTATATTATAATTTCCAATGCTGTAGCTTTTTTTGTGGGCTTCCCTGCTGGCTCAGATGGTAAAGAATCTACCTGCATTGCAGGAAATCTGGGTTTGATCCCTGGGTCGGGTCTCCTGGTGACTGGGTGATGAAGTTTTGGTAATGTCCAAAACATTATAACACTTGTTTAGGTCTTATAATATTATACCTACTTATTTAGGTAACAAGGAGTGTCACCTTGAAGCAATTCCCATTGTTGACCTGGCTTTTGTGTACTCAAGCTTCCAGATACAAAGAATCACTTATTAAAACATTCTCTAAACTTCAGAGTATGTCTTTTTAATTTTTCACCACAAATTATCACTACCTCCATAATCGAAGCTGACTCTCTGTTTCTTAGGTTTGGGCGGAAGTTGATTCTCAGGTGCTGTTTGCTCCAGTTTGCCATCTCTGGGACCTGCACAGCCTTTGCTCCCACCTTCCTCATTTACTGCTTGCTACGCTTCTGGTCAGGCTGCTCTGCTGTGGCCATCATAACAAATAACTGGATGCTCAGTAAGTCAACAGTTTTGTTCTTCTTCATTTTCCAAGCTTTGAATTTGATCTTGAAATTTCACCCTTAGATGACATTAATATCCGAATTGGGTTTTCCTTTAGTTGCAGAGTGGACAAGGCCCCAGTCTAAAGCCATGGTAATAATGCTGATAACTTGTGCTGTTAGTATTGGACAGATGATGCTGGGAGGACTGGCTTTTGTCTTTCGAGAGTGGCGCACCCTGCAGCTGGTGGTGTCTGTACCTTTCTTTGTCTTCTTTCTCTCCTCAAGGTATGAGCATCTCTCTCACTGTGTTTTAAGGGAACCTGGGGTGAAAATGCTTACTGAATTGTGATATATTGATTTTCTTATTCCCTGAACCCTTTCTTATTGTTTCTGCCTAAACCAGGGTCTTTCATCTGTTTACTTTGTTCAATTTGAGATTTGAGAAGCAGAACACAGAATAACAATGAGCTTTCTGCCTGGGAGTTCCAGGTATTTTCTGCCATTTTGCTTCCTAAGTCTTATCCAATGTTGAGTCATTGAGTTATTCCATTCTATTTTTTAATATAAAATATATACTTAAATATTTTTGAAAGATAAAGCTTCAATTTCTTGGCTTTGGAATGAATATGATACAATCAAGTTCTCGATGATTTTCTATGAGGCAGAAAATATATTCATAGAGCAATTTAACAAAATAGCAGTTTAAATTCTCCAGAAGAGAAAATGACATGCAGATTAGATGATTTACATATGTGTTCATCACTCTGTCTTTCCTTAAGTAATTTTAATGAACATTTATTTATGGATAATCTCATCCCTACACTTAAGACCATTCTAGGGAGAGTCATATTCAGTAGATTTCAGAAAGATTGCTATGGATTTAGTAAAGTGACATGAGTACAAAGAGAGAGAAATAAAAACGATAATCCACATCAGACTCATCTGCTAAGGCGTTCTATCCTTTTAACCAGGAAGATGTGTTTATTGTCTCTGTTTATTGATAAGGAAACTGAGTCAGATGTAAATAGGTGACCCCCACTTATGTAGCTGTTGTTGTTCAGTCACTCAGTGGTGTCCAACTCTTTATGACCTCATGGACTGCAGCACACCAGGCTTCCCTACATTTGTATTCCACCGACATTGCCAGAAGTGGCAGGAGTATTGACAATATTTGTTGGCCTAAAAGCGTACATGGTTGGATGGCATCTCCAACTCGATGGACGTGAGTTTGAGCAGGTTCTAGGAGTTGGTGATGGACAGGGAAGCCTAGCATGCTGCAGTCAATGGGGTTGCAAAGTGTTGGACTTGACTGAGCAACTGAACTGAACTGAAATGCATTTGGGGGCTTCTTTTTTCAAGATAATATATATTATGAATATATGCTATGTGCACAAATGTGCTGGATCTCATGCTTAGTTTTGAAGGGAATTATGCAAGTGAGGGACTCTCAGACTTAAGCTTCATAGGTCTCTTGGAAAGCCTTCTGCTGAGTAAGCAGAGAGGCAATTTGACTGCAAACTCTATGATCCTTTGCATGTAGAACATCTCTTAGATGTACTACATAAAGTGGTCATTCTTGTATTTTCCTAGCAGTCTTAAAAAAACATGAGCTCCTTTTCCTAACCCAATATTTGAAGTGGTGAATATTGGATTGAAGCAAAAAGCATATGCTGTAATTAACCATATGACAAATAAGCAAGAGACAAATAAGACAACTAAGACAAATAAGCAACTTGTGGGCCCTTCTTTCATTAGGTGGCTGGTGGAATCTGCACGGTGGCTGATTATCACCAATAAAATAGATGAAGGATTAAGGGAACTTAAGAAAGTTGCACGCAGAAATGAAATGAAGAATGCCGAGGCAACCCTGAACATGGAGGTGAGCGGAAAGGGAAGGTGGTTACTGGGCTGAATGGGAGTCATAAACTGACACCTGCCTTCTCCTAATGAGATAGGCAAGCTGCTTTCCTAACAAGGGCAGCTAGTTGAGAATACAAATTCCCTGGTTCTTTATGGCCATAAAGGCCATAAAGCTCGTAGAAAAGAAGTTCTGAGCACTGTACAAAGCTTCTTCCTTTAGCTCACTTCCTGATCTGACAGTATATCCTATGTACTCTTCAGGATGCCCTGACCCCTTGGTGGCTCTCATTTTCAAAATTTAATGGTTGCCATTTAATTTCCTGGAGTATCCCTTAACTCGTTACCTACTCCATCATATCAACACCTGTGATTGCATGTGTAATATTGTTCAGTTCCTAAGTCATGTTCAACTCTTTGTGACCCCATGGACTGCACCTCGCCAGTCTTCCCTATCCCTTACTATCTCCCAGAGTTTGCTCAAACCCATCTCCATTGAGTCATGCCATCCAATCATCTCATCTTCTATCGCCCCCTTCTCCTCCTGCTCTCAGTCTTTCCCAGCATCAGGGTCTTTTCCAATGAGTCAGCTCTTTGCAGCAGGTGGCCAAGTATTCGAACTTCAGCATCAGTCCTTCCAATGAATATTCAGGGTTGATTTCTTTAGGACTGACTGGTTTGATCTCCTTGCTGCCCAAGGGACTCTCAAGAGTCTCTAGCATGCAATTCAAAACATCAATTTTTCAGTGTTCAGCCTTCTTTATGGTCAAACTTTCACATCTCTACATGACTACAAAACCATAGCTTTGACCATACGGACCTTTGTCAGCAAAGTGATATCTCTGCTTTTTAATGGACTGTCGAGGTTTGTCATAGCTTTTCTTCCAAGGAGCAAGTGTCTTTTAATTTCATGGCTGCAGTCACCATATATAGTGATTTTAGAGCCAAGAGAATAAAATTTGCCACTGTTTCCACTTTTTCACCTTTTCCCCAACTATTTGTCATGAAGTGATGGGACTGGATGCCATGATCTTAGTTTTTTGAATGATGAGTTTTAAGCCAGCTTTTTCACTCTCCTCTTTCACCCTCATCAAGAGGCTTTTTAGTTCCTCTTCACTTTCTGCCATTAGAGTGGTATCTTCTGCATATCTGAGGTTGTTGATATTTCTCCTGGATATCTTGATTCCAGCTTGTGAGTCTTATAGCCTGGTGTTTTGCATGATGTACTCTGCATGTAATTTAAATAAGCAGGGTCACAATGTATAGCCTTGATGTACTCCTTTCCCAGTTTTGAACCAGTTCTTTGTTCCAAGTCCATTCTGTTGCTTCTTGCCCTGCCTATAGGTTTCTTAGGAGGCCAGTAAAGTGGTATTTTTCTTGAAGAATTTTCTTGCATGTGTAATATTGAAGAATTTTCCACAATTTGTTGTGATCCACACAGTCAATGGCTTTAGCATAGTAAATGAAGCGGAAGTAGGTGTTTTTCTGGAACTTCCTTGCCTTTTCTATGATCCAGCCCATGTTGGCAATTTGATCTCTGGTTCCTCTGCCTTTTCTAAATCCAGTTTGTACATCTGGAAGTTCTCAGTTTGTGTATTTTGAAGCCTAGCTTGAAGGATTTTGAGAATCACCTTGTAGCATGTGAAATGAGTGTAATTGTGCAGTAGCTTGAACATTCTTTGGCATTGCCTTTCTTTGGGATTGGAATGAAAAACTGACCTTTTCCAGTCCCGTGGTCACTGTTGAATTTTACAAATTTACTGACATATTGAGTGCAGCATTTTAGCAACATCATCTTTTAGGATTTTAAACAGCTCAACTGGAATTCCATCACCTCTACCAGCTTTGTTTGTAATAATGCTCCTAAGGTCCACTTGACTTCACACTTCAGGATGTCTCACTCTAGGTGAGTAAACACACCATCGTGGTTATCTGGGTCCTTCAGACCTTTTCTGTGTAGTTCTGTGTAGTCATGCCACCTCTTCTTAGTCTCTTCTGCTTCTGTTAGGTCCTTGCCATTTCTGTCCTTTATTGCACCCATCTTTGCAAGAAATGTTCCCTTGGTATCTCCAATTTTCTTGAAGAGATCTCTAATCCTTCCCATTCTATTTTCCTCTGTTTCTTTGCATTGTTCACTTAAAAAGGCTTCCTTATCACTCTATGCTATTCTCTGGAGCTTTGCATTCAGATGGGTATCTTTCCCTTTCTCCTTTGCCTTTCACTTCTCTTCTTTTCTCAGCTATTTGTGAAGCCTCCTCAGACAACCACTTTGCCTTCTTGCATTTCTTTTTCTTTGGGATGGTTTTGGTCACCACCTCCTTACAATATTATGAACCTCCATCCATAGTTCTTCAGGCATGCTGTATATCAGATCTAATCCCTTGAATCTATCTGTCACCTCCACTGTATAATCGTAAGGGATTTGATTTAGGTCATACCTGAATATGCTACACTAGAAAGAAAGGACACACGTCTCTCCTATTCCCCTGGCACTCATCACAATACCTGGCACTATGCTAGCAAATGATACTTGATTGCTTTTGTTCAAGGGTTTGAGAGCGACCATGCAGGAGGAACTGGAGGCAGCACAGACCAAAACTACGGTGTTTGACTTGTTCCGCACACCCAACCTGCGTAAAAGGACCTGTCTCCTCCTCTTTGTGAGGTGGGCTACCCACAATGTATGACAACTTGAATGGGAACATGAATCTGTTTATTACAAAAGGTTATGACAGTGTTGTGAGAGGGAGAGCTTATTTGTGGTTAAAAGATGAGGAAGAGAGAACAAGATGGCAAACGAGTAGGTGGACGTGGAGTACATCTCTCTCCATGGATACATCAGGAATACACCTTCAGACATAGAACTGCATGCAGAATAGCAGTTGAGAGCAGGCAGGAGTACCTGACCAGAGGAAAAGAATATATAGAACCATGCAAAACTTGGTAGGATGAAGGAATTGGGGGGAAAATAGGAATGTTAGTAGGACTGGACCTGCCCTCCCTTGGTGGGAGGGGGAACTAAAGCAGGGGTCCAGTCCTCACAAGGGGGCCATTGTCTGAGTCAGAAGAGAAACATTTAAGACTGAGAGTGAAACAGCTGATCTGTGGCAGCCTAAATAGAATGAGAATCAGACAATCCTTGCTGCAGCCATACATACCCTGGACAGGGATATAGGTCCCCTGGAAGGCATTGTGGCTGGGAGCTGGAGTTTGGGGATTGTGGAGAGATCCCAGGGCGAGGGCTGCTGTTGACTGTGGAGAAACAGATTGAGAGGAGGTGAGACAGGGGGTGGATTGTGGTGGGAAATGCCTGTGGAGGAACGCCGGGCAGCCATGGAAGCAAGGTGATAATGCTGAGTCACGCGTAGGGGGTGGAGATGTCACCATAGCTTCTGTCTCTCCACACTCCAGGCAGCTCAACAATAGAGAGGCTGGCCCATCAAATGCCTGACGCACTGAACTAGAGCAGGACCTCACCCAGGGTGTTCCTTTCAGTGACTGATGTGCCGATCTACAGAGTAGGACTCCAGCCAGGGGGGGGCCCTCTATGTGCCTGATGCACAGAACAAGAGAGAAGGACCCAGGCAAGGGAGCCCTCCAAGGGCCTGAGTGGGCGGAGCTACGAAGAAAGAATGGCCAAAGAGGCCTGCTGATTGCCAGCTACAAGAGGCTTGAAGAAAGACTCTGATAGGGCCATAACTCCTGCAGCAGAGGAAGTCCGTGTCCCTGCACATTTGGTGCCACCAGGGTCCCTGCAAGCCAAGCAGCTGCGCCACCTTCATGCTCAACTCTCACTGGGGAAGAGCTGCCACAGGCAAAAAGTCTTGCGTCTATGCACACAAGGTCACTCCAACTCTTTATGACCCTGTAGACTGTGGCCTGCCAGGCTTCCCTGTCAGGGAGGGTGGTTCTCCAGGCAAGAATACTGGAGCATATTGGCCAAGACTGGTTGCCATACCCTTCCAGATCATTATATTTCCTGCTGCCCTAGCTGCCAACTTCCCTGAGTACCTGGTGCTGCCTGAACCCCTGTGATCCAAGCAGCTACACCACCTCCACACCTAGACCTCACAGGGACAAACCCAAGCCCTTCAGGGCAACCTCAGAAGCAAACGTCCATGTCGGTGGACGACCCACATGTAGAGGTGGAAATAAAATCACAAGTGAAACCCAGGGGCAGTGTGGCTAAGGAAGAAGACCCTAAACGTTCCCACCAGCTGTACAAGCCGCAGATTAAATCCACATGATCAACTAGGTGGACTCTGTGCCTATGGAGTATATAAAATGTTGTTGAGAGCTCTCACAAAAGAAAATGCTCCAGTTCTGATAGCTGTGGACCGCGGAAGCAGGAACACATAGGAGTAGGACCAGATTAGAATCTGAGCTGCCCCCACAGCAGGTCAAGAGATCAGCAGTGTTGGAGGGCATCGTAGGGAGCTGAGGTGGACTGTGACTCCCAGAGAGGGAAAGGACTCTGACAGCAGTTACTCAAGAAAAACATTTATTGTTCTTACGTTTTGACTTGTTCTGTAGATTCTTTTGGATAACTTCAGGACATTCCATCCAAATGCAGAAGAATACACCTTCTTCTCAAGTGCACACGGAACATTCTCCAGGATGGACCACATCTTGGGTCACAAATCAAATCTCAGTAAATTTAAGAAAATTGAAATCATATCAAGCATCTTCTCTGATGACAATGCTGTGAGACTAGATATCAATTACCAGGTGGGGGGAAAAATGGTAAGAAACACAAACACATGGAGATTAAACAACATGTTTCTAAATAACCAACAGATACTGAATAAATCAAAAGGGAAATCAAAAAATTTCTGGAGACAAATGACAATGAAAACATGACAACTTAAAACCTATGGGATGCAGCAAAAGCACTGCTAAGAGGGAAGTTTATAGCAATACAACCCTCACTCAAGAAACAAGAAAAACATTGAATGGACAACCTAACTTTACATCTAGAACAACTGGAAAAAGAAGAAGAACAAAACCCAAAAATTAGTAGAAGGAAAGAAATCACAAAGATCCAAGCAGAAATAAATGAAAAAGAAATGAAGGAAAAAATAGTAAAGAATAATAAAACTAAAAGCTTGTTCTTTAAGAAGATAAACAAAATTGGCAAGCCTTTAGCTAGACTCATCAGGAAAAAAAGAGAGGAGAATCAAATCAACAAAATTATAAATGAAAAAGAAGAGGTTACAACAGACAGTGCAGAAATACGAAGGATTATAAGAGATTATTATGAACAACTATATGGCAATAAAATGGATAACCTGGAAGAAACAGGCAGATTCTTAGAAAAGTTCAATCTTCCAAGACTGAACCAGGAAGAAATAAAAATTATGAACAACCCAATTACAAGCACTGAAATTGAAGCTGTGATAAAAAAATCTCCCAAAAAACAAAAGCCCAGGACCAGATGGCTTCACAGGACAATCCTATCAAACATTTACAGAAGAGCTACTGCCTATCCATCTAAAACTCTTGTCAAAAAATTGCAGCGGAAAGAACACTTCCAAACTCATTCTACGAGGCCACCATCACCCTGATACCAAAACCAGACAAAGATAACACAAAAAAAGAAAACTACAGGCCAAAATCACTGATGAACATAGATGCAAAAATCCTTTAAAAAATTTCAGCAAACAGAATTCAGCAATACATCAAAAAGCTCATACACCTTGGTCACGTTGGGTTTATTCCAGGAATGCAAGGATACTTCAATATATGCAAATCAATCAATATGATACACTATATTAACAAACTGAAAGATAAAACCATATGACAACCTCAGTAGATGCAGAAAAAGCCTTTGACAAAATTCAGCACCCATTTATGATTAAAACTCTTCAAAACATGGGCATAGAAGGAACTTACATCACCATAGTAAAGGCTATATATGATAGGCCTACAGCAAACATTATTCTTAATGGTGAAAAACTGACAGCATTCCCCCTAAGATCAGGAGCAAGACAAAGAAGTTCACTTTCACCACTATCATTCAATAGTTCTGGAAACCCTAGCTACAGCAATCAGAGAAGAAAAGAAAGAAAAGGAATCCAGATTGGAAAAGAAGAAGTAAAACTCTCACTGTTTGCAGCTGACATGATACTGTACATAGAAAAACCCTAAAGAAAAACCCTAAACCTATCAGAAAATCATTAGAGCTAATCAGTGAATTTAGCAAAGTTGCATGATACATAAATCACTTGCATTTCTAACATATACTAACATTGAAAAGTCAGAAAGAGAAATTAAGGAATCAATCCCATTCACCATCGCAACAAAAAGAATTAAATATCTAAGAATAAACTTACTAAGGATACAAAATATCTGTACACGGAAAATTATAAGACACTAATGAGAGAAATCAAAGACTACATAAACAGATGGAGAGATATTCCATGTTCCTGGGTAGGAAGAATCAATATTGTGAAAATGACTATACTACCAAATGTAACCTACAGATTCAATGTCATCCCTATCAAGTTACCAATGACATTTTTCACAGAACTAGAACAAAAAGTTTCACAATTCAACACAAAAGTCCCTGAATAGCCAAGGCAGTCTTGAGAAAGAAGAATGGAGCTGGAGGAAGTCAACCTTCCTGAATTCAGATTATACTACAAAGCTACAGTCATAAAGACAGTATGGTACTGGAACAGAAACAGAAATCTAGACCAATGGAACAAGATAGAAAGCCAAGAAATAAATCCATGCACCTATAGGTACCTTATTTTTTTACAAAAGAGGTAAGAATATACAATGGATGCAAAGACAACCTCTTCAATAAATGGTGCTGGGGAAACTGGGCAGCTACATGCAAAAGAATGAAATTAGAACACTTCCTAAAACCATACACAAAGATAAACTCAAAATGGATTAAAGACCTGAATGTAGAGCTAGAAACTATAAAACTCTTAGAGGAAAACATAGGCAGAACACTCGATGACATAAATCAAAGCAAGATCCTCTATGACCCACCTCCTAGAGTAATGGAAATAAAAACAAAAGTAAACAAGTGGGACCTGATTAAACTTAAAAGCTTCTGCACAGCAAAGGAAACTATAAGCAAGGTGAAAAGACAAGCCTAGAATGGGAGAAAATAATAGGTAATAAAACAACTAGCAAAAGATTATTTTTCAAAATATACACGCAACTCATACGACTCAATGCCAGAAAAACAAACAACCCAATCAAAAAGTGGGAAAAAGACCTAACAGACATTTCTCCAAAGACATACAGATGGCTAACAAACACGTGAAAAATCCTCAACATTGCTCATTAGTAGAGAAATGTAAATTAAAACTACAATGAAATATCATATCACCTCACATCGGTCAGAACGGCCATCATCACAAAGTCTACAAACCACAGATGCTGGAGAGGGTATGGAGAAAAGGGAACACTCCTTCACTGTTAGTGGGAATGCAAATTGATACAGCCATCTATGGAAGATGGTATGAAGATTCCTTAAAAAACTAGGAATAAAACCTCCATATGACCCAGCAATCCCACTCCTAGGCATATACCCTGAGGAAACCAAAATTGAAAAAGACACATGTATCTCATTGTTCATTGTAGCACTATTTACAATAGCTAGAACATGGAAGCAGCCTAGATGTCCATCATGAATGGATAAAGAAGTTGTGGTACATATACACAATTGAATGTTACTCAGCCATAAAATGGAATGCATTTGAGTCAGTTCTGATGAGGTGGATGAACTTAGAACCTACTATACAGAGTGAAGTGAGTCAGAAAGAAAAAGATAAATATCATATTCTAATGCATATATACAGAATCTAGAAAAATGGTACTGAACAATTTATTTACAGGGCAACAATGGAGAAACAGACATAGAGTATTCTCTCCACTTATAGACAGTGGGAGAGGGAAGGAGACGATGAGATGTATGGAAAGAGTAACATGGAAACTTTCATTACCATATGTAAAATAGCCATCGGGGGTTTGCTGTATGGCTCAGGAGACTCAGACAGGGGCTCTGTATCGACCTGGAGGGGTGGGGTGGGGTGGGAAATGGGGTGGAGGTTCAAAGGGGAGGGGATATGTATACCTATGTCTGATTCATGTTGAGGTTTGTCAGAAAACAACAAAATTCTGTAAAGCAATTATCCTTCAGTTAAAAAAATTTAAAAAGAAAGATGAGGAAAATAACAAATAAGACTCACATGGATTTACATGTATTGCCCATCCCGATCCCCCCTCCCACCTCCCTATCCACCCAATCCCTCTGGGTCTTCCCAGTGCACCAGGTCGGAGCACTTGTCTCATGCATCCAACCTGGGCTGCTGATCTGTTTCACCCTAGATAATATACATGTTGCGATGCTGTTCTCTTGAAACATCCCACCCTCGCCTTCTCCCACAGAGTCCACAAGTCTGTTCTATACATCTGTGTCTCTTTTTATGTTTTGCATATAGGGTTATCATTACCATCTTTCTAAATTCCATATATATGTGTTAGTATACTGTAATGGTCTTTAGCTTTCTGGCTTAATTCATGTCAATGTATGACAAAAACCACTACAATATTGTAAAGTAATTAGCCTCCAACTAATAAAAATAAATGAAAAAATAAAAAAATTAAAAAAAAGACTCACATAGAACTGATTATATTATGAACAGTTCATTATGTCATATCACACTATCAGTCTCATCACTGGAGACTGATGTTGAGAACTTCTATTGCAGTACAGATGTGCATACTTAATTGTCTTTATTTTTCCTTTCAGTTTTCATTGATGCAAGTGTTGCAAACAGAAACATGAAGAGATCAGGAATGTATATGTAAATAAATGAGTACATCAGTATGTAAAAATGTAACCAACATACAGATCAAGATAGAAAATCATAAATCCCATGGAGTCCCTCCCCACCACCACCAGCACTACCCCTATACTCTCCTCAACCACCCTCTCCTTTGCCAAACAAAACTTAACAGCTCTTCTGCTCTCCTTCACTATAGACGAGTGTGTCCTGATTTCGACCTTCACATAATGTAAATTATAAAGGGTTCTGGAACAGCCCGTGTCTCATGCTCACTCATGTAGATTCACGCATTCAGTGGCATGTAACAGTAGATTACTCTCCTCCCTAGTGTTTTTGTTTTCCATTGCATGAATATACTACAATGTTTATATGTACTTCAATATTGATGGACTTTTGTTTACAATCTGGATACCTTTTGTGTGTGTGTTAGCACATGGTCTTCTGTGAAAGTCTTGTTTGTTATCTCTTGAGGGGATGGTATGGTAGAGTCAGGAGGAGAAATTTTAGATTCTGAATTTTTGAAGATGTATACACATGGACCAAAAAAAGCACACAGGACAGTATATACCCACTGCCAAACTTAAGAAAGTGACTATTGAAAAGTATATTTTATCTCTTCCCAGACATATCTCAGTAGACTGCTGACTCACTTAACTACTTTGTGCTTTTTTGACTTTTTCATATCTACTAGGACATGAACTTACATTTCTGAATCATAGATGATCAGAAAGGAAGGGAAAAGTACAGATAATGATCAAGAGAAGACCTGTTTGCAATTGCCCTAGTGGTTTCTTCTCTTGCAATGTCTAAGTCTAGATCTCTCTGGTAAGTAGATGCTTAAAGTGGATTCCATTCCCTTAGATGCTCCTTGGTTAAAAGGCAGATCCTCACCGGGAATCTTTGATTCCATTTCTGATGGTACAGTTGGTGCATGTTTGCTTTCCTGCATCCTTACATTTTCTTTTAGCCCCATGAAGTCTGATATGAACTTTAAATTACCCAAAATTGTGTTTGGACATCAGGATACTATGCTGCCAAGTCAAGGGGACACAGGTAGCTTCTTTGCAATTTCAGTCACTAGTTGAGAAAAGAGAAGTGCTTTACAGTATTGGCTTTGGGGGAAGAAAGGAAGAACTATGCATACAGACAACCCTCAAAAAGAAGTTATTTCCCTAAATTTCTAGTTTTAATGCTTATGTTTTCAAATTCTCTGTACCTCCAGTTTGGCGGTTGAGTCACATTATATTTTTACTGCCAACTCTGCTTAGAGACTCCAGAAAGGACAAAAGGAATATTGTTTTCATTTATAGCCATGTAATTATTTATGGTAACTTTACCATCTAAAATTGAAGACACTAGGTTGAGACTTTATTCTGTAGCCGTCTGGGTGGATATAATCATCAACTGCAGCACCTGGGCTCTAAACCTTATGCCTTGTGTCTTCTTTTGCTCACTGCAGGTTTGCTGTCACAGTACCCCTTTATGGCATCTCTATGAATCTACAGCACTTTGGAAGCAATATATTCCTGTTCCAGGTCATCTTTGGAGCTCTCGCCACCATAGCCCGATGTCTTGCACTTGTAATACTGAATTACAAGGGCCGTCGACCAACGCAGATGTTTTTCTTGTTCCTGGTGGGACTTTCCATTTTGGCCAACACGTTTGTGCCCCAAGGTGAGAGGAGACTGGACTTTGGGGAAGGGAAGGGTCTTTTCCCCATCCTTCAGGGACTGTAACTGGTCACACTTGTCTGAAATTAGGTTTAAAATTAGGTTTAAAGAGGTTCAGAATAGCATTGAAACAAGTATACTATCAAGGGTGAAACAGATCACCAGCCCAGGTTGGATGCATGAGACAAGTGCTCAGGGCTGGTGCACTGGGAAGACCCAGAGGGATGGGATGGGGAGGGAGGTGAGAGGGGGGATCGAGATGGGGAACACATGTAAATCCATGGCTGATTCATGTCAATGTATGGCAAAAACCACTACAATATTGTAAAGTAGTTAGCCTCCAACTAATAAAAATAAATGGAAAAAAAAGTGAGAGGCTCATATTTTGAGCTAAGTATTCCCCCAAACCAATCTGATGATTTATGAGATTTTCTGTTAATTTTTTGGGGGAGGGGAAACAAAGGTCAGTGAAGGGCAAATAAGGCATATATTCATCTTCATCAGATCATGGAAGTGTCTATAAACTGGTAGCATTTATTCCAGACTATTTCCCTAGGGAGCACTTGTTCACTTGCCCTTTGTCCATTCACACTTTTAATAACAAGTATAGAGGGAGGGCTGAGGTTTGCACTTCTATCCCAGGAGACGACACAGTATGGTCACCCCTTTGTTTGCACTCTTCGTTAGCACCTTTGATGAGTGGTCCACTTTCCCATCTCTAGTATACACACGTGAGTGGGCTGTGAAGTCACCAGGACTACAGCTCTTACGTATAGTAGTCTCCCAGGAAATGAAAAAAAAAAAAAAACAAACTCCTTTTTCCAAGGAATGAAGGAGTAAACAGCAGGAACAAGATTTAAGCAGATTAAAATCCCTGTCCATTCCATGTTAGATTACTTTATAAGTTAATAGAACGAAAACATGTGTTGATTAGGAGAACCATAATGGGCACAATACTTCACATCACCTGGTGCAGGAATGTGCTGCACAGCATTAGAGATGGGCAGGCTCTGCTCCTCAGAATGTCACTCATGACAGGAGCTTACTCCCTTACAAGAGCGTTCTTTACAATATTATAAAGTCATAAGCAGATTTCTTTTTATACTGTGCAGAGAACTGTTTCTCTGAAGTTTTTTTAGTGGTCCCATTATCCAAACAGAAGTTTCCTTTCTTGGTTTCTCATGTCTAACATTGATGTAGACCTGGGTTCTCTTTAGCATTTCCACTAACAGAGCAGTTCTGTCTTCCTATTACTCTCTGGTGCCATACCCATGGCAATGCTATTTCTACACTAGGTCAAATGACTCATTGAGGTTTGCCTAAGAGTTTCCTGATTTTTTCAATGAAAATCCCACATTGCTAAGACCTCCTAACTCCCAAAGAACCCAGGATGACTGGTCACTTTACATTATACACTTTAATTGTTAAGTCCTTAACTTTAGAGCTGAGTCTTTACTCAGTAATTGTCCACATGATGGTCCTACCTTCTGCAATAAAAAGATAAAAAGTATTGGACAGAATAAGTAGATGCAAATTTCTGCCAGACTCACCTTTTCTTCCTGTTCTCTGGCAAATCTTAGATATGCAGAGAGATTTGCTATAATTAATCCAGATCATTTTATGTACATTTTATAACCTATGTTGATAATTTTATATCTCTCAGATTATAAAAGACTCCATGATCTCTGCTATTGTAATATTTTCTACAACCTGTTTCAAGTGTTCAAATAGTGTATTATAGAGCTGTTGATCTTGACTAAACTTGCTGGATGCTGATTGTTTCAACACAGTTGTCTTAACCTCACTGATCCTCCCGTCTCCAGAAATGCAGACTCTTCGTGTGACTTTGGCAAGTGTGGGAATCAGCTGCATTGCTGCTGCAGTCACCAGCTACTGTGTCCACTGCGATGAACTCATGCCCACTCTTCTCAGGTATAAGACTTTCTATACCTCTGGAAGCCTGGTTAAAGCTTGATATATAGTGTCCTATAGTTTAATAAAATTTGTGGTTTAGGGAAGGAACCAGGAAAATGTTCTAATTCCACATATAAGACCGTAGTAGTTTATCATTTGTAAGTTCCAGTTACAAGTGTAAAACAGAAATACAAAATACCGAATCAGCCAGTTCTAGTGAGGTGGATGAACCTAGAGCCTGTTATACAGAGTGAGCTAAGTTAGAAAGAGAAAGACAAATATCGTATATTAAGGCATATGTATGGAATCTAGAAAAATGGTATTGATAAACCTCCTTGCATGGAAGGAATGGAGATGCAGACATAGAGAACAGACATGGACACAGTGGAGAAAGGAGAGAGTGGGACAAATGGAGAACATAGCATAAACATACATACACGACTGTGTGTAAAATAGGTATCTGGTGAGAAGCTTCTATATAACACAGGGAACCCGACCTGGTGTTCTGTGATTATCTAGAGGGGTGGGATGAGGGGCGGGGAAGGAGGCTCAAGAGGGAGAGAATATATGTATAGTTATAGCTGATTTGTGATGTTGTATGGCCTAAACCAATACAACATTTTAAAGAAATTTTCCTTCAGTTAAAAAAATAATAATAATAATGAATGAAAATAGGATACAGAATTGTTATACAAAATGTAAATATTTTAATATTCATAAAAATAAAGACAAAATAAATGCCTAAAAAAGAAATCTGAAGTACCAAAAATATTAGGAAATAAAAATGAAAAGTGGATTTAATTTTAATTACTGTTGATTTGGATATGGATTTTCTAAAAAATGATGTTTTAATATACCAAAGATAATTATCACCAAGTTTATTGAAAAAGATGACTTGGTGCCATGTACTATACAAAGCAGTATTTCAATGCATCTGAAGACCCAGAGGGATCGGGTGGAGAGGGAGGTGGGAGGGGGGATCGGGATGGGGAATACATGTATATCCATGGCTGATTCATGTCAGTGTATGACAGAAGCCACTACAATATTGTGGAGTGGTTGGCCTCCAACTAATAAAAAATAAAAAAATTTTTTTTAAAAAATGATGAAACTGGGTCTAACACATCTAGATCTTGTCAAAGACAGATAGAAAATCACAGAGCAAATCACAAAATCAAGTGTTTTTCATAAAGCCCATGCATATATAATAATTATGTTTTATTGTGTTACATAATCACATCAAAAAACAGATCATAAGTTACATATGTGGATTTTTACTGGACTATTGTATATTCTTGTTTATCCCTTAGGGCAAAAGCTTTTGGATTAGATGCAATGGTTAGTAGGTATGGGTCAGCACTGGCTCCTCTCCTGATGACCCTAGTGGTGTATCTACCCATCCTGCCCTGGATCTTCTATGGAGTCTTTCCCATCATTGCTGGTCTTGTCGTGCCTTTCCAACCTGAAACCAGAAATATGCCTCTGTCTGACACTATCCAGGATGTGGAAAATACGTGAGTAAACCTTCTACCGTCTCCTGGGAGGGACTGTGTGCTTTCGATTTGTGGGTGAGAAAGGCAACACATTGCGTGGGTCCTTCAGATTCCTGGGGAAGGCAAGCCTTGCCTGGAATACTTTGATCTCGGGCCATTGCCTTCATGAGTGGGGAGAGGTCTATCCATTACAAGTTCCAGTCTAGACTACAGAGATCCCCTCTACCTTGTTCTCATTGGCAGTTTTAGTCCTAAAGAGATGATAATTGGCTCTATTGTGATGGCATATCCTATCTGCCCTCATGATGGTATTTAATGATACTCAGATCCACAAGAAAGAAAATATTAGTTGCTCAGCTGTATCTGACTCTTTGTGACTCCATGGACTGTAGCCCTCCAGGCTTCTCTGTGCATGGCATTCTCCAGGCAAGAATACTGGAGAGTGTAGCCATTCCCTTCTCTAGGGAATCTTTCCAACTCAGGGATCCACAAGAGCCTGAGATATAAACAGGAAATTTTAATCAAGAGGCATGATCACTCATACAGAAAGACTGGGAGTGTCATGCTATATCAACAATGACTTGAGCAAAATACTTAGCCAGACAAGTCTTATCTCAGTGGAAAAACATGGACAGAAGTCTGAGAAGATTGAATAAATAATGAGAGATGAGGAAGTGGAAACACTACTGTTTCCACTTTAGAAACAGTAAGTGTAAACAGCGCTTTAGGGAAATCTCACTGTATGCATTTGAGATTAGGAAAACCATCTGAAATGGCTGACAGTTGGAGGGGGACAGAGGACCAAAGCGACAACTTCAAAAAATAATATCAAGCATTATTTAACAGAGTTTCACTACTGGTTAGAAGTAATGAACTGAACTCTTTGAGGTGCCGGTCATTTCTTTATTGTTTCCCTTTCTCGTTTGAGTACAAGGTGTTAGTCATTCTATGCTGTATCATTCAGTGCCCAGAGTCAAATAGATCTGGGATATGAAAATAACTCATATTTAAATGTATGTGTTTCCAACATCATATATTTTATTGTTTGCAATTAATGGGTTCTAACCTCATGAAGAAATTTGGATTTTTTGTTTTATAAAACAATTTTCCTAATTTGAATTAAGGTATTTCAACGAACTAGATGAGATCTCTTTCTCTGAGCAAGAGAGAGTCAACAACTTTGAGAGAAAAATTAATTATCATTAAAAATGGAACAAGCTGTAGAAATTATGTTATTACAATGATTATTTACACTTTTTTCTTGGTATGAAATTGTTGGTATTTATTATAATTTAAAACAAATTAATCATACTATAGAAAAAAAGAAACAGTAATAAAGAAATTAATCTTGTTTATGAGCCTCTAAGATTCAGGCAAATTTTTTCATTATACTTCAGGGAAAGTATCAAGGATAGGAGGAAAAGAAACTAGTAAAAGTATTTTAATGTGAGAAATATGGTATCTTTGCGACATCAGGCTTCTATAATCAAGTTCCACAAACTGAGTGAATCACACAACAGAAATGTATTTTCTCACAGTTTGGGAGCTTGAAAGTCCAAACTCAAGTTGTTGGTAGGGCCACGTCCCCTCTGAAGGCTCTAGGAGAGGGTCTGATTCAGGTCTCTCCTGGCTTCTGGTAGTTCCTTGGCTCGTGGCACCGTAACTCCAATCTTCACATGGCATCTCCCTGGTATGCCTGTGTCCAAATATCCTCTTTGTATAATGACACCCGTCAAATTAATTTAGAGCCATAACCTACTCCAGGATGACCTCATCTTAATTAATTATAACTGCAAGAACCATGCTTCCAAATATGATAATGTCACATTCTTAGATACTGAGAGTTAAGACTTGAATATATGATTTTTTTAATTACCAGCTTTGTTGAGGTATAATTGACAAATTAAAATTGCTTATTTAGGATGTACAATGGTATTTTCAAAAGGTGCACAGTGTGATGATTCAACAGATGCATTTTTAAGAAACTTTTTCCTTTATTAACACAACTCTTTAAATAATATACGAATTTTTGAAGGGACACATTTCAATGCATAACAAATGGAGTTACATTTCCCATTTGCCTCTTGACTTTCCAAAGATGTCATTGGCCAAAGATGACCAAAGAGACAAGTGAGAATAAGTAGCATCCTTCAAATTTGCTTTCTTGTCATCAGCCTTTGCAGCATCAGTGTCAATCTCTCATGGATTTTACTGGATTATAAGAGCTGATGGTTAGAGGATCAGTTTGTACTTGTGCAGGGAGGGCATCCAAACTTATTTTTTTCTCTTTTATAGTGTTTGTTTCTATTTGCTAATTGGTTGGTTGATTTGTTTCTGTTTTTTGTTTTTACAGCAAAAAAGTCTCAAGAGAAGCAAATGAAAAAGATTTCTGTATAAAAGTAACAAAATTTTAAGTGGATTTCATGAGATGACTGGTGAGGAAAATAAAAACATGAAGAAAAAAAAAGGGAGTTTTCCTTTATCTTTACATACTAACAAGAAAATATACACTAAAATGAATCCCATTTACAATCATGGCATTAATTTGCAATTAAACAGGAGACATGGGTCAGTCCCTGGGTTGGGAAGATCCCCTGGAGAAAGTAATGGCTACCCACTCCAGTATTCTTGCCGGAGAAATTCCACGGACAGAGGAGCCTGGTGGGCTGTGGTCCATGGAGTCCCAGAGTCGGACATGACTGAGCAACTAAGCATACACACACACACACACACACACACACACACACATACACACACACACACACAATTTCTTGGAATATAATTCCATGATCAGAACAATGGTGCCACATAGAATGAATGTTAGAAAACATTTTTTTTTCTTCTACTCCTGAAGGAGTTTGGGTAAAATGGGTTATATGTCTTTCTTAAATAATTGGTAAAAAAAAATAAATAAAATTTAAAAAAAAAAGAAAAAAAATAAATGGTAAAATTTCCAGTGAAGATATCTGTAGTTTTCTTTGTGGGAGGATGTTTAACTGTAAGTTTATTTTATGTAACAGATGTAAGACTATTCAGTTTATCTTTTTTCTTCATTTATAGTTTCTATCCTCATCGTGTATCCTATTTTCCTATAACTTTACTTACCTGGTAATGTTCGATGGATGCCAAGCATTGTGACTCACCTTCTGGGATATCAGATAACTTTTTTAATTCCTAAAAGCACTGAGATCTTTGGGATATGCCTAAGTTACTTAAAAACATTGATCTTTTTGGGTCTGGGGGAAATCTTGGGCACTGTGTACCAGGCAGCTGCTTGGACTCATCCATAGGCTATCAATACTGGCAAGGGGCCAAAGAACCAGGGGCAAAAGGGCTGTCTAGACATATCTCCTGGCTTGCTTACCAAATCTGTAATCAATCCAGGCTTGTTTGCCCACTGCAGAACAAGTCAAACACTGAGTCACTGAGGTTTGCCACAGAGAAAGTGTTATCTGTGAGATAGCTAAGTGAGGACACAGCAGAACAAATCTCAGATCTGCATCCGCAAAGGCCAGAGACCTGAGA